AACAAACCTGGGTGCTCCGATACCAAGTGTTAGACATAAAACCCAAAAGAAATAGACTTTGTTTGCTTAGTACTCAAACACGAAAGAAAGAATAATATAAGAAAAGGACTTTTCAAACTTTGCATTGCAAGGAAAGCAAAGAGAAAAGAAACTTTGATCATGTTATTCGTTTGGAAAAGAGGCCTATATATAGCCTTATTACATCACGTGGAAACAAAGAAAGAAAACAATAAAATACTAGCTAACCTAAAGAACCGGTAAAGCTATAACTATTCCCAACGTGCCCCTTACAATTCTCCAACGTACACAATTTTATGAACCAGTCAAACCCCTCTACGCATTCTTATTTATTCAATCTCTAAAATCTCTAAATAAAGGAAAATTAAATACTTATTAATTCCAGCCATGCATGTGACTACCAAACCGATTAAACCAACACTGGTCACATTACCTGAGTTTCCTCGTACAAAAAACACACATCTAAACGAAAAAACACGTATAACTGAAACCAGTTACTTGAAGTTCTAATTAAGGAGTTCAATATAGATCTGACGAAGAGTCTAAACTAGAAATCTAAACATAGATTTGCCCGATTACTAGCTTCTAGACTACATGTTCAACGAAATGCTCCAGAGAAGTAGCACTAACTTGTAACTATATAGTTACCTAACACATGTTTGATCGAAGAAGAAAACGAACAAGCTGGAAGGTATGGTAATGTCGAGCAACGGACAGAGGGGGTGGTAGGAAGATGAGGTAATCCAATGGCGGTGGCCGTCGAGGAAGTTGTTGCCGCAAAAGCGGTCGCCAGTTTCAAAAAATCTTGCTATTCAGCCGACCACAACTTTATCTGCTATCCGGATTCCAGATTCTTCATTCTCCTGAGAGAGAGGAATCCGAAAAGGTGATTATATTAATGGAGTTTTCTCTCTTGTAAACAAAGAAGACCCAACATTTTAAATAAGGAAGACCTAAAATTTAAAGAATTATAAATTTAAAAATGTTTGTTTATGATTGGTTAAAACATGTTCATTTGGATCACCATAACAATATAATCCTCACCTTAAAAAAATCAAAGGTATATATATATATATATATATATATATATATATATATATATATATATATATATATATATAATATATATATAGATATATATAGATATATATATATATATATAATATGAAGGTTACTTTACTGGACTTAATTAATATATCAGATATAAATATTGTCATTTAATATTATAACAATTTGTACATTACTTGTCTCGTACAGAAGAATAGTACATTGTAATGTTTGGGACATTGAAATATGATAATAAAAGTTTTCTCCCTTCTTGTGTTCTCCTTATTCGTTTGCTAGAATTTGTCTAACTTTTACCGCTTCTGTCTTTCATGATACGTGGAGGTTGTCAAAACCTATAATGTATCATTATTCCACTATGTATTTATCCATGTTTTACTTGATGACCTTTGCCATCTTCTCATGCAAGTTTTTTAAAGTTTATCAGCCTCTTTATTCGGGCACATCACTTAATTATCTGTTGCGGGTTAATGTTTTATATGCAGGTAGCTTATGTTGAGACCTTTCAGTGTAGACATGGTCATAGAAAATTTTATTTTATATATTTATTTCTATTTGTCTTTTTATTTTCTTTTTCATTTTTACCGGAAAGTAATTTATGACAGTAGCGACCCATCGTTCATTATGTATTGCCAACCATCCTATACCTCCCCTTATCCAATTTATATGGAACTGGGTAAGTGTTGTCTAAAATTGCATATGGGTTTCTTAAAAAGGGTCTTCTAGTGATAAGTCGAAGGACATATCCAAATATTTCAATTGTAAAGTAGTATGTCATCAAAGAAGACCAAAACAAATTTTCTAGGGATAAGTCGAAGGACATATCCAAATATTTCAATTGTAAAGTAGTATGTCAGCAAAGAAGACCAAAACAAATTTTCTAGGGATGGTTAAAGATATAATTCATAAGGCTTTGGAACAATCTTATGGGCATACATGACTACTTAGACAAAATTTATAGAATAATTAACAATCATATAGTTTACTCGGTCCTTGCAATCGTCTTCTTAATCCACTCAATACATGTTGCTAACTCATTTTTGCCAGACTGAAATATATAAAATATAAAATTCCCAAACATTAGCACGCCTTTTCAAATAAGATGTGGCAAAACCCTACATTCTTCTTATATTCAAGTTGCAAGAAATTTACCTTGAAAAGAAGATACCGGTAGACAAACCATCCGGTATATCCAAGTCCTACCAACTCCAAAAATCTTTGGGGGTTGTGACAATATAATAAAAACTATATTAGAAAACAAGATTTCAAGACCACAATATACAAACAACGTCTAGAAAGCATACCAATGACACTGAGTTGAAAACACCAACAAGGATTGAAGATATCCATATGGCAACAACTGCTCCTCCTCCATAAACAACAACTGTCGACTTGTTTTCAAGTGCATTCCACTTTTCCTTCAAGTCATTGAACAATTCATTAGCATCTGGAGCAAATGACGCATCTTCTGAGGCCTTGATCTGGAACATAAATGATCTTCTCGACCATGGTAACACGAAGAAAGTGCTGTGAATTTTCATTGGGTATTGATAAATGTGTCAGTTTTTACAAATTCAATGACAAATGTCACAACATTGAGGATGAAAGAGCGAGAAAATTGCCGCCAAAAGGAGTGAAACTCCAAAATAGGTCACATTACCTGAGTTTCATCGTATACAAAACACACATGTAAACGAAACAACACTCATAATTGAAACCAGTTACTTGAAGTTCTAATTGAGGAGCTCAATATAGATCTGACGAAGAGTCTAAAATAGAAATCTAAACATAGATTTGGCCGATTGCTAACTTCTAGACTACATGTCAACGAAATGCTCCAGAGAAGTAGTACTGACTTCTAACTATAAAGTTACCTGACACATGTTTGATCAAAGACGAAAACGAACGAGTTGGAAGGTATGGTAACACCGAGCAAGGAACATAGAGGGTGGTAGGAAGCTGAGGTAACCCAACGGCGGTGGCCGGCGAGGAAGTTGTTGCCGCAAAAGCCGTCGCCATTTTCAAAAAATCTTGCTATTCAGCCGACCACAACTTTATCTGCTATCGAGACTCATCTTTTTCCTTTTCTTTTTAGCATTTGTTGGTGAAAAAAACAATTGATTCTTGATGTGACACGTGGAAAAAAGGCAACTTTTGATTGGTTAACTTTGTATCTTCGTAATCCACGTTTGATATGTTCCTCAGTATTGGGCTTGTACTAAATTAGAAAGGTCAGGTGTGCGCCAACATGTACTTTTGTACTACTGAATTGTGGTAGGTTCTGTAACTTGTGTTTGATTAAAAAGAACTCCAAATATTTTGATAATCAATCATTGTAAAAAAAATAATAATTAATATTCTACTATTATAATAAAAATTAGACTACAAGAAGAACTCCGCACTTGGGGTGCACCGCCCTAGTGAACAAGGTGTTGTTTGTTTTTTTTAAACAAAAATTTATGAAGTGTGCGGACCATCTCTGCAACCCTCTGCGGTAGAAGAGGTGGACCAAACGGCTGCAGACTGTAATAAGAAGCGTGTTTGTTTTTCTAACATTTGCATGCTGCTGCAGATATTAAAAAATTAAAATAAACTGATTTTATAAACCGAAATAGTTTTTTAATACCGAAAAATTAATAATGTATGACATTTCAGCAAGAATTTATGATATTTCCACAAAAAATAATGATATTTAAACAAAAAAAATAAAGATATTTTAGCAAAAAATAATTATATTTCATCAAGAAATTATCATTATTCAATATAAAAATCGAAAAAAAAAAATTCAGCAAGAATAAATAAAGAAAACCGAAAAAAAAGGGTAAAATAAGATTTCAGCAACATACAATCAAGATTTCAGCAAGAAAGAAGAAGAAGAAGAGGTTGGAAGAGGCTGGAAGAGGCAATCAAGATTTACCATAAACCATTCCCATTGAATGGCAAGAGTAACCGGACAGTGACGAACGCAAGACAAAACCTTAGTAGTGGCACGTCGGAAAATTTATATTACATAGGAAATTTTCCAAAAAAATTAAATCGTGCTTTAAAATTTGAGGGATTGCACCGACCATCCCGAGAACCCCTTATATCTGCCAGTGGAGGCGGAGGCGCTTTGCCATGCTATTACTATGCACCACTTCCTCCGATCTTAGTTTTTTTTAAGTATGGGCTTAAGTTCATGGGTTTTTTGGGCCTAGTGCTAAGCTACTACACAAAGTTGCTAGGAGAAGCTGCAAAATTGCAGGCTACTAACATCACGGGTTTTCCATTCTTGGCCATGTTCAGTTGTTTAGTTCTACAACTATTGATCTTTTTGTTAATAACCTCAAAATCATATCACAAGTATATAACTTCATCAAAAAGGCCTAGTGCTAAGCTACTACGCAAAGTTGCTAGGAGAAGCTGCAAAGTTGCAGGCTACTAACGTCACGAGTTTTCCATGCTTATCCATGTTCAGTTCTACAACTATTGATCTTTTTGGTAATAACCTCAAAATCATATCACAAATATATAACTTCATCAATTCGTTCATTTTAAAGTTTGGTGCACTACTTGCACTCATCTTCCTTCTAAACATAAACTACTTCCAGCAATGTCTGATCATTTACCAAATGCAACTCTCTGTAGATTAGCAGTGAGCATTTAGACTGAACCGGACCAGACCGAATCTTGGATCGGATCGGTTTAAGAGAAATTGGTGTACTTGTTAGACCGATACAACTTTAGGTGAACATGGTACAACTCGTTAAATCCTACCGAAATTTAGTTTATCTATTAAGACTGTAGGGTGAGTATTTGGACTGAAACGTACTGGTACCGAAACTAGACCAAACTAAATCTTGGACCAGACTTGTTTTGTAGAAATTGGTGGACATTGGACCAGACCTATTGAGGCTAAATTTTTTGGTTCGGTCTCGTCTAGAAGTCTAAATGTTCACCCTTACTGTAACACCCATAAAAATTGAGCCAAATTAAAACATTTTAATTCATTCAAAAACCATTAAGTTCATACATCTCGTTTTCAAAATAGTTTAAACATCAGAGTATCCCCCGAACCATATCACATAAATCATAAAACATGAGGAGCGGTACGATCACGCCTTCGCCTTGCCACGATCTCCTGAAGTACCTGAAACAATACACTGAAACTGTAAGCCCGAAAGCTTAGTGAGTTACCCCCAAAATACCAACCACACATAAACATACTCATAACATATCACAAATAGAACAGCCATGCACATCGGGTCTACTGTGTGACTGGTCCGCCCGCACCGGGCCTTCAGTCCACCTGGTCCACCCTCCGAATCTAGCCATGTACATCGAGTCTACAGTGTGATTGGTCCGCCCGCACCGGGCCTTCAATCCACCTGGTCCACTCTCTGAGTCTACAGTATGACTGGTCCACCCACACCGGGCCTTCAGTCGGCCTGGTCCACTCTCCGAGCCTCGGCACGTCTGGTCCGCCCTCTTGGGGCCTTCAGCCTATCCGGACCGCTTGCTGGGCCTTCGGAATATCCGGTCCGCCCTGGGTATGTTGGCCTACATCACAAAGCAGGACCCGCCTCAACCCAACCCCCGTCAAACAACCATGTGCACATAAACAATCAATCTCATAACAAATCCTTACCTAGACAAACAGTCTAACAGATCACATAGCATATCAACATCCTAACCAGGATTCCGACCTAACCGGTCACTAGCATAACATTACCCTATATACCGGGTACCGACCTTAACCAGGTCACTAACATAACACCATCCTAAATACCAGGATGCAGATCTAGCAAAGCAATAACATAACAACAATACCCGGATTTCCATCCGATAAAGGGCCGGCCTTGGTGTCGTAGACCCTGTCAATATAGTGAGGATAACTCACCTGCAATTGCCGACTGAAGAGATACGACCAAGCTGCTCCGACCACCGACATGAACTTCACCACAGCACACTACCAAAGAACCAATACCATAATTACCAAAATACCCATGGAAGTCAAACTGACCAACTCTTGGTCAAAGTTAAAGTCCTCAGTCAAAGTCAACCTTCCTGGTTGACTCTACTCGCCGAGTCAACCTGTCGACTCGTCGAGTCCTTATACTCAGAAAGACTCCCATAACACGACTCAACTCGCCGAGTCAACCCGTCGACTCGTCGAGTTCAACGATCTCGGAATCCCATCCTGCCCAACTCACTGAGTCGCCAACCGACTCACTGATTCGAGGCTTAACCAGAAGAGGTTAGGGTTTCGCGACCAGACTCGCCGAGTCCAAGAACAGACTCGCCGAGTCCCAGGCAATCTTCAACAGACTCGCCGAGTTGTTCTTCCAACTCGTCGAGTCCAAGGCAATCTTCATACAACTCGTCAAGTACACCCATGTGACTCGCCGAGTCTCTCGAGTTCTCAATCCATACAGTGGCTTTTCGAGCCATGCAGGGGCTCCAATCCCTATATCCACTCTTCTACAGTCTAACCCTCACATAAAGTTGCAAACTTTACGTGAGACCAAGGAGATATAGGCCCAAAACACATTAGGGCTAGGGTTAAGGACTAGGGGGCTTCACCAACAACTCTTAGACAGATACTTTATGACATTCTGGACCAGCTCAAGTCTAGATCTGAGGTAGCAACCTCAGATCTACCCTCCAAACCCGAAATAACCTTCAATCATACCAAAAATGCCCCAAATCTCAAACAATAATAGATCTAGACGCAAAAGAGCCCAAGCAACAGATTATTACCTCCAATATAAGCTCTAACTGAAGTAGATCCCGGATCTACACCACTCCTTTGCAGAAAGCCTCTTGCTCTTCAAGCCTCTTTTCAAGATTTCCTCCTCCAAAGCTCTATTCTCTCTAATAATGGAGGCTCACTTGATTTCTAGGTTTTACCGGCTCTCAAGAGTGGTAAGGAGGCTGAGGAAGGGATATAACATTCTTTATATAGGGCACAACCCCCGGGATTAGGGTTTTCTCCCTTCAGTACTAACTCGTCGAGTCCCAGCCTCCGACTCGGCGAGTTGGCCACTTATTCCGCGACCCAAAACCCGCTCCGACTCGGCGAGTAAGCGGACCTACTCGTCGAGTCCCTTTCCTAAATTTACACTTTTGGCCCTTCATTGAACAATTGAAATTTGGGGTGTTAGAACTCTCCCCTACTTAAATTAGGCTTCGTCCTCGAAGCCTACTGCAGTATACGCCTCAGAACGAACCCTTTGCATTGCAGACTCCGACTTCTCAATCAACTCATGCTCTTACAAACCCTACTTCTGCATCTATCTTAAAATGGCTTATTCTCACGTGGCACCCGTGCCACTATTCCAAGCCGACCATCGGCCTTTCAACTCAATAGTACCACGTATCACCCGATGATACTATCCCTTCATATCAGGGACACACTTCTGCGCCCTGCAACGCTAGATTCTACAAACACCCACTAAGCTCTGCTAAGAAACTAATCCGTCTTCCTTTGCCCAAAATTGGCGATAACCCTGATACTTACATCCTAGAACAAATCCTCATGATGGAATACCCCATATTGGAATACCTCGACATACATAACTCAAGCCTACAACCATACTCAGAACTAAGGACTTGTCCTTACGTCACCCTCGGACCCTTCGGTTCGACACAACGGAGTGCAACCCACTCACACCTCCCTATCACGATCTCTAGGTCCTTGACCTCCGACTGTAATATCCTTATACAGTCCTCCGCACCAGTCCAGACTACTCCCGAGTCTGTTAACCTGTTGTCTCACCTTCCTCTGTCCCAATCTCCAATCTGGAACCACTTTCCTCCTCCTCTTCCAAGGAGACTGAAAACATGCCTGCGCATCATCCAACATTGCCACAACCTCAACGGGCATCCAACCCGTATGTGCTTCCATATATCTGGTACAATTCCAATGCTCACTACCAAGCACTTTCGATCATCGATTTACTCCATTGCCTTCATTTCAGAGGACCCAAACTCCTTCCGGAGCTACATACCTTCCCTTTCCAGGAAGTCTACTCAACAACCCTTACCACACCTATAAGTGCCACAGAGCTAAACTCCACTCTACACTATCCATGTAGAGCAACTGCTATTTTCGAACTCCCACATACTCCGAATCTGATCACGTAACTAACAAGGCCCACACACGGCCTCCAGCCAACTTCATCATCATGATCAATACTTGGGGCCAGACCATATCAATTACTATTGCATGGCGACACATTCACTCATTCTCCGCATACAGATCCACTAACACATACAGAGTCTTCAGCATGACTGGACCGCCTTTCCAGGCCTTCAGCCTATCTGGACCACTCTCAGAACCTTTAGCATGTCTGGACCGCCCTTTTGGGCCTTCCGCCTGTCTGGACCGTTCCCCGAGCCTTCGGTCTGACTGATACACCGTCTGGCCTTCAGTCTATCCGGACCGCTCAAAACTGTCGTACTTCACCCTGAACCATCCCTTCCGGGAATCTCTCTCATGCAGTCTGTTCTAACCCTCTTGGGGTTCCGAACTCCAGTTCCGTTCCCGGAATCCTTTCCATGGCCTAAACCCAGGCCTTACAACAATCAGTCACCTTTTTTCGAAAACCATGGTCTGTGCTCCGCCCCACTTGTCTACCACTTGCTCTCACCGATCCACACCCTCAGCTAAACACTGCTGAAATCTAAACAACTAACCATCCTTGGATGCATGTCGTTTCACCGGAGAATTTTCCAATTCTCCCCCACTTAGTGCACCGACTACTAACCACCGATGCCCAAAACCGGCATAGCTCAATCACCCTTACTCCATATATTCCCTCTTAACCACGAACTGGCTCCCTCGGGAGTGAGTAACCTTCATCGAATAACCCTTCCGCCATCATACACCCGAACTCCAGGAAAGTTGAATCTCAGTTGAACACTTCTCACATCGTAGGTGCCATACTCAACAAAGATATCATATACCCGACCTTCCGATCATCTATCCTCTTGGATGCTAACCATCTACAACTCCTAACTACTAAGATCCTCAATCATACTACGAAACATGCGGAACAAAGCAGACAGATTACAATACCACATAATCAACAAGATAACAAGATATCATAATGGAAACATACCCGCAGTTGCATCTGGCTCTGCCTTGACCTCCTCTGCTGTAAGCTGGAATGCGCGTCCCTGAGTCCTCGGAGGCTCCGCTCCACCCTGACCCCCGCCAGTAATCCTCAAAGTGGCCGGTGCTGGAGCCTGCACCGATCCTGCAGCAAACTGTGGGCAGTTGGCTCTCAAGTGTCCAACCTGATGGCAGTGATAATAAATCCTCATATCCCTGTACCGGGGAGTAAGCGGACCTACTCGTCGAGTCCCTTTCCTAAATTTACACTTTTAGCCCTTCATTGAACAATTGAAATTTGGGGTGTTACACTTACTACCAACAACTTGTTGGGAAGATAAAGTTTTTGGTCCACACCATGCCAGATTTGGCTTTTTTCAGTTCAACATTTAAGCCAGTTTAACAAAACACCTTCTCAAGCTCATTTCACAACTGCTCTATATGTTTTGAAGTATCTTAACGGCACCTTATCATAGGCTTTATACTTCAACAATTAATCATCTTTCAAATTAGAAGCGTATTGTGATTCTGACGGGGCTTCATGCCCAATCACCAAAAAATCAATTAGTGGGCATTTTATAACTTTTGGTGACACTTTTATTTGATGGAAATCAATCAGCAGGTCACAATTTCTTTATGATCAGCGAAGCTGAGTATAGATCCATGCAATGAGTGTGTGCAAATCTTGCATGGCTAAGCATATTGTTTCATGAATTGGGTATCTCCGATATCATTCCTATTCCTTTACATTGTGATAACATGGAAACAATCTACATAACATCTAATCCAATGTTTCATGAACGTATAAAGCACATTGAACTAGATTGTCATTTTGTAAGAGAGAAAGTCATAGGTGGTCTAATTCGATTAGCTCATGTTTCTAGTTTTGATCAAAAAGATGATATATTCGATTAGCTCATGTTTCTACTTTTGATAAAAAAAAAAGATGATATATTGACTAAACAACTCAATAGAGTTCAACATTCTATGGCAAGATCCAAGCTTGGTGTTGGTAATTGCTCTAAAGCTTGAGAGAGAGGGGGGGTGTTAGTCAAGCTAAATGACGAGTTATTTACAAGGTGTTTTGATCGTCGATTTCCTATGCATATATCTTTATAGCTTCTTCATGTTGAATAATAGAGAATTCATTTGAATCGTTACATTTCCTCTATTTTTCTTTCTTTCATTACAATAGTATCTCATCAAGGAAGACCAAAACATATTTTCTCAGGAATGGTTGAAGATATCATTCATAAGGCTTTGGAATAATCTTATTGGCATACATGCATGACTACTTACACAAATTTTATAAGAAAATTTAACAATCATATAGTTTCCTCGGTCCCTGCAATCTTCTTCTTTATCCACTCAATATCCGTTGCTAACTCATTTATGCTAAACTGAAATTAAAAAAAAATCTAATAATATCATAATGCCTTTTCAAGATAAAATGTGGTTAAACCCTACATTCTTCTTCTATTCAAGTTGCAAGAAAATTACCTTGAAGAGAAGATATCGGTAAACAAACCATTTGGTATATCCAAGTCTTACCGACTCAAAAATATTTGGAATCTGTGACAATATAATAGAAACTATATTAGAAAACAAGATTTCAAGACCACAATATACAAACAAGATATCGAAAGCATACCAATGACACTGAGTTGAAAACACCAACAAGGATTGAAGATATCCAGATTGCAACAACTGCTCCTCCTCCATACACAACAACTGTCGACTTGTTTTCAAGTGCATTCCACTTTTCCTTCAAGTCATTCAACAATTCATTAGTATCTAGAGCAGATGACGCATCTTCTGAGGCCTTGATATGGAACATAGATGATCTTCTCGACCTTGGTAACACGAAGAAAGTGCTGTGAATTTTCATGGGGTATTGATAAATGTGTCAGTTTTTATAAATTCAATGACAAATGTCATAAGATTGATGATGAACGAGAGAGAAAAATGCAGCCAAAAGGAGTGAATCTCTAAAATCAGGTTGTTATATATAAAACCCAAAAGAAATAAATTGTGTTTTCTTAGTACTCAAACACGACAGAAACAAGAAGATAAGAAAATGACTTTTCTAACTATGCATTGAAGGAAAGCAATGAGAAAAGATACTCTGATCATGTTATTCATTTGGAAAAGAGGCCTATATATAGCCTTAGTACATCACGTGGAAACAAAGAAAGAAAACAATAAAATACTAGCTAACCTAAAGAACCAGTAAAGGTATAACTATTCCCAACGTGCCCCTTGCAATTCTCCAACATACACAATTTTATGAACCGGTCAAACCCCTCTACCCATTCTTATTTATTCAATCTCTAAAATCTCTTTATAAAGGAACATTCAATACTTATGAATTCTAGCCATGCATGTGACTACCAAACCGATTAAACCAACAATCACCCCTTAATCGATTTGTGTTTCCCACTAGATAACAGCAATGCCTGCTCCTCCTCAATTATATTTACCTCTTGTTTTTCCCACTTAGGACATTCATTGTTGTAGTGACCAAATACACCACATTTGTAACATCTCACGTGACTTTTATCCCGTAGGAAAACGTTCACTGTCATCCCGATTTTTTCCAGACCTACACCTATTCCCCGACCACGTCCAAAGCCATACCGATTGGAACCTCCATTGCCACAATGCCTACAAACTTGTGATCTTTCTTCACTAGTCAACAATAAACCACCTTGAACGTCCTCTGTTGTGCCAAACAGAACACGCGCATAAGTTTTTTACTCTGAAGAATTCTAAAAAACAAACAACTGCGAGATCAAAAGTGTTGCGCATGTACTGCGCCGCGCAACAATTAGATGTCTGAAGAAGTTTTTTACAAAAAAACAAACAACACCTAAGTGTGGCAAGAGAACATGGTTCCCATTCCAAACCTTTTTTTGCTTATTAATATTTTTTTCCTTCTTTGTTGTTTTCTCTCTTTTCCTTCCTTTCTTGCTATATTTTTTTTTACCATAAACCATTCCCATTGAATGATAAGAGTAACCGGACTGTGACGAACGCAAGACAAAACCTTAGTAGTGGCACGTCGGAAAATTTATATTACATAGGAAATTTTCCAAAAAAAATTAAACTGTGCTTTAAAATTTGAGGGATTGCACCGACCATCCCGAGAACCCCTTATATCTGCCAGTGGAGGCGGAGGCGCTTTGCCATGCTATTACTATGCACCACTTCCTCCGATCTTAGTTTTTTTTTAAGTATGGGCTTAAGTTCATGGATTTTTTGGGCTTAGTGCTAAGCTACTACGCAAAGTTGCTAGGAGAAGCTGCAAAATTGCAGGCTACTAACATCACGGGTTTTCCATGCTTGGCCATGTTCAGTTCTACAACTATTGATCTTTTTGGTAATAACCTCAAAATCATATCACAAATAGATAACTTCATAAATTCTTTCATTTTAAAGTTTGGGGCTTTATTGATTTCTTAATAACGACCATTGGTTTGGTTATTCCATGGAGTTATGGCACTACTTGATGGATACTCCGTTCTTGTAACAAGAAGTTGAAATCAAAAAACACTTTTCGGTTTTCGTTTCCCACTCGAACCACAAGGATGAGATGGTTTGCAAGGAGGAAGACTCACAATCCAATTGCAATGACCCATACGCGCGGTAGATCCAAAGCCCATCAATGTGAGGCATAAGCATGTGATTTAGGCCCTAGTCCACATTAATGAGTAATCGGCCGGAAGGAAGAATGAATGGAGCATATTTAGTTTATATACTCCATTGGTGCACTGTTCCATGTTTCTATTACTCCTTTCATTTTTGCTTATGTTTAGGACCTAATTGCAGTTTTAAAATCAATCTAGAAAATTGCTCCAAATTCTCTTATCTTCTTTAATTCTTGAGAGATTAGTCATCTCGAATTCAGATCAATCTTATTACTATCCTGACAATGAAGACAAATACCTATAAGAAGCTATATATGAACTTAAATCTTGTATTCTCTCGGCTCCAATGCACACACAATCATATTGCCAAACACACTACTTAGTACTTACACAAATGTTATATGAAAAATTGAAGAAAGCATATCATATATATTACATGTAGAAACCTATACACCTAATTTACTCGGTCCCTGCAATCTTCTTCTTTATCGACTCAATATCTGTTGCCAACTCTTTTCTGCTAGACTGAAATATATAAAATATAAAATTCCCAAAACATCAGTATGTAAGCCTTTTCAAGATAAAATGTGGCTAAACCCTACCTTCATTCTTCTAATATTCAAATTGCAAGAAATTTAATTACCTTGAACAGAAGGTATCGGTACACAAACCATCCGGTATATCCAAGTCCTACCAACTCAAAGATCTTTGGAAGCTATAGAAAACATTAGAAACCAGATTTAGAAAAACAACAACTCAAAAACACCATGCCAACAAGATATGTAACACCTACCAATGGCACTGAGTTGACTGCACCAATAAGGATTGAAGATATCCAAATTGCAACAACTGCTCCTCCTCCATAGACTATAACTGTTGACTTGTTTTCAAGTGCATCCCACTGTAAAAAATTTCATAAAGGAAACCAATATTGTATCAGAAACAGACAGTGATAAGTAGATAATTACAAAATAATTGAGCATATATGTGTTTCTTGAATCTTCACCTTTTCCTTCAAGTCATTGAACAATTCATTAGCATCTGGAGGAGATGATGCATCTTCTGAGGCCTTGATCTTCGACAGAGATGACCTTCTTGATACTAGCAATTTACAACTTACATATCAAATGCTATCGAGCTTTATAGTACAGAAAACACACATATCTAAAAGAAACAACACGTGTAATGGCTGGAACCCCAAAGTTCCGGATTAAACTGAATACTAGTTTCAACATTGATATGAATTTGCTTCAGATTGAACACCAAAGGTTTCTAATTTAGTGACCTTTTACGAGGTTTAGTGAAGTACACTGTCAAATGTATCTAGAAACGTAAAACAACCCATGTTGGTTTTGAAGTTGAAAGATTTATTGTGTTCACTAATTGCATAACAGCTTACGACAAATTCAAATCTACGAGGAAGTAGTTTACGTGAAGTTGTCATTGAGAACCTCAAAATCGATCGAAAATCCAGCTCACATACTAACTTGTAAACAATATGCTCGATGAAATGCCTCAGAGAACAACAATAGTAGCACTGACAATAAAGTTACCTGAAACCTGTTTGATCGAAGTGGAAAACGAACGAGCTGGAAGGTGTGGTAACGATGAGCAACGGGCAGCGGTGGTGCTAGGAAGACGAGGTAACACGACGGCGGTGGCCGCCGAGGGAGTTGCTGCCGCAAACGCCGTCGCCATTTTCAAAAAATATTCCTATTCAGCCGACCTCAACTTTTTCTGCTATCCACACTCGTCTCTCTCCTTTTCTCTTTAGCTTTTGTTGGATTCTTGCTTTGCCACGTGGAGAATTGGAGCATTTTGATTGGTTAAGTTTCTATCTTCGTAATCCACGTTTGATCGGTTCCTCTGCATTGGGCTTTTAGTAAAATAGAATAATAGATAGGTCAGGTGTGTGGCAACAGGTACTTTAGTATCGGTGTGTTGGGTTGTGTGTGATTCAAAATGTTATTTTTTTTTCCCAAAACTTTTATTAAATAATTGGGGTTATATTTGATTTATTTTTTATTTAGACTTAAAAAAATTACTTGGAGTTTATTTAATATCCTATTTATTATTATTATTTTGGACTAATCTTGTTGGTGTTTTTTTCCGAATTAAATATCAAATTTATTTTATTGCTTGAAAAAGTACATTGTAATTTTTTTATTATTTTTGAAAAAACCATCAACTTTATATTTTATTCCGAAAAACATCTCAACCTTTTAAATGCTTCCAAATAAATCTTCAACTTTTTTTAGGTTTTCTCGAAAAATTCACATTTTATAATTTCTTTTGGTAAAATATGACTAAACGGGCCTGACCGAAAAAAAAAATAAAAAAATACAATGTAATTTTCAGGCAAAAAAAATTTGAGGTTTAATCTAGAAAAAACACAAAATATAAGGTCTTTTTTAAATTAACCCTTTTATTTTTATTTTTTTTCAAAATAAACTCAATTTTAACCTGTTTCTCGTTATTTTATTAACGAAGTCAGTTACCAACATGTAACATATTATCCACTAACTGACGTGCGTCCTAAGCATTGATCGTCAAAAACAATAATTGATTCTACAACTCTAGATCACATTTATGTTTTGTATTCTTCTACATATACACAACAATGGGTCTCCTAAAATGACTTCTTTTTCAAGCATTATGAACATAAACTTAGTAATCATGTTGAAATTGAATTTTGTTATTGTCAGGATGAAGCTTCTCTATTTACCTTATGTCTTAAGGTTGTTTTCACAAGATTCAGTATGTTTTCAAAGGCTGGCCTAAGGCTATTTTCATAAGGTTTAATAGAATTTTTATTTTAGGAAAAAAGATACATTAGCCCAGCAATATATTTCGAATTTATCCATTCAATCCCTTAACTTATTTGTATGCATTATGAGGGAAGAAAGTTGTTTTTGTTGGGTCTATATGGTCCTTTTTTGAAGAAATGAAGGGGTTAGCTGGTAACTTCCTTGCCACATCATTTAATTGGTCTACGTTGGGTTTTCAATTTCACCGTCGTCGCATCCCCAACATCTATTGTTAAATTTTAGAAGAAAACCCTAACCAGACATCATGTCTTACTCGAATCTGACAATGTGGATATCTTCAAAACCCTCATCACTCGATTCATCTGCCCTCTCCTTCAGATAGTTCATCAGCCCAGTTCAAATCCCAATTCCAATCCATCAATTTCAAATTCTAGACCTTCTTCTTCCTCGATTAATTGCAGTTCGAATAAGTTTGTGGTCATATAGAATCAGTGAAGAACACCCGCAAAATCACTGAAATACTCTTTCATCTACCCATAACATATGTCATTTCGACCAATCAATTGTATCAATGGGTTTATAACAAGCTAATAAGAGGTTGTGTGTAGATCTTGATAAGAAGATCAGACAGATTGTAACACCCGAGTCGCCAGGTTTGAAGTTAATGATTTAATATGTTTTAATTCAATTAAAAGGTGATTGAGGGTTTGTGAGTACGCTGGGCGTACACTAGGTACACACGATGTACTCCTTAGATGCACGTCATCGGGGTGATCCCGGTATACGCTGGGCGTACCCATGCGTACGATGGTCATACTCAAGCCATGGGTAAACCCTAATTTTTAGGGTTTGCTGTGACATCCCCAAATTCATGGTCATTTTAAAAAATTTATTAATGCTTATTTGAAAATCAGAGTATTCACTTTAAAGAATAATAGTGCGGAATTTGTTCCCAGAAAACGTGATAAATATATTATCAAAGCATTTCCGAAGAAATGTATTTTGTTTATATTAAAACTTTAGGATGTCATCGTCAATACAAAAAATAAGCATAAACAGACCTTACATTTATTTACACTAGTGATTTACATCTCCTTTAATCTCTCAGTATAATGTAGCTTGGTATCGATACCTGTGATACTAATAAATTGAGTGGGTCAGATTAGGAAACCAGGTAAGTACATAGGGTTTTCAACCCACAATAATATAGTTAATGTGTTTCTTCACGTAATTCATGTCAAACAATTAACCCGATTACCCATCCCCATTTTCCTCATTTAAATTTCCGTAAAGACTCATCCTAAGGTTCATCTCCTACATCGTATTTACCTCTCATCTCCTTACATCGCATTTTCTTATATATTTTTCCTAAGGATCATCGCCTACATTGCATAGACAGTACTGATTCGGGGGTTACTCCCTCAATACGTGTCTAGTAAGGGTTAGAGTATCATTGCATGAATACGTAGTTACAACATCGCCTAAACTCGTAATTCATAGTAAGGGTTAGAGTATCATTGCATGAATACGTAGTTACAAAAGCGCCCGAACTCGTAATTCATCACCTACAAATTATGAGCCTGTTGGTGTTTCCACATGACTTTCTAGAATAGTCTATGGTCGCCATCTATACTCTGGTAGATGACTACATCGCCATATCGCCACATCGCCGGTCAAGGTTATGGTATCTCCTCTCATCTCACATCACCTATTTATCATCACCTATCTATTATCACCTAATTATCATCACCTTTCTATCATCACCTATCTCTCATCACCCGTTGCTACCCAATATATATTTATAAGTATAAAAATGCGTATACAGTTTAAATCACATAAACAAGTATAAATCGTTCATCTAACATAGATATCAAGAACACATATAATATGCACACATTAGCACGTAATTTATATTAAATACTTCATATCTATGTGTAAGATGAAGGTAACTATGCACTCACTTGTTAAAGTGATGATTCCAAACTCGGGCAGCGCTTCGCTTCTAAAGATTATATTTTCCTTCGACGAAACCTAGTATCATTACCGCTAGATTTTATTCTAATATTTGTTGCGACTATGTAACATCCCGACTCCCAGGTACTTCATTTATTTAATTATTTAAGCAGTGACTCGACGAGTTGGGTGTTCGACTCGTCCAGTAGAGTTGGATTGAGCATGTGGGTTTAAAGACCGACTCACTGAGTAGGCGCCGTGAGATGAAAACCCTAATCTCCGGGGTTGGTGCTAGGAAGACGAGGTAACACGACGGCGATGGCTGCCGAGGAAGTTGCTACCGCAAACGCCGTCGCCATTTTCAAAAAATCTTGCTATTCAGCCGACCTCAACTTTTTCTGCTATCGACACTCGTCTCTCTCCTTTTCTGTTTAGCTTTTGTTGGATTCTTGCTTTGACACGTGGAGAATTGGAGCTTTTTGATTGGTTAAGTTTCTATCTTCGTAATCTACGTTTGATCGATTCTTCTGAATTGGGCTTTTAAGTAAAATAGATAATAGATAGGTCAGGTCAGGTGTGTGGCGACAGGTACTTTTGAATCAGTGTGTTGGGTTGTGTTTGATTTAAAATGTTTTTTTTCAAACCGTTTATTAAATAATTGGGGTTATATTTGATTTATTTTTTATTTAGACTTAAAAAATTAAAAAAAAAAGAACCCATTTAAATATACTTGGAGTTTATTTAATATCCTCTCTCTCTGTATGTGTGTGTGTGTATATATATATATATATATATATATAATTATATATATAGAGAGAGAGAGAGAGATAGGTTCAGGTATTCTAACTAAGTATTGTATTATTGTATGCATGATTGTGGACCAATCAAAAATTAATAGAAAAAACAATAATTAAATAAATCAATAAGGGTAACTAGGTAATTTGAGAAATAACTTCCACAAATACTCCCTACAATTTTGCTAGTTACGTTGATTTTAACCTAATTCCCCCCTTTTATATAAGGCCTACGACTGATCTGATCAATCTTCATCACCGGTGTAGGATCAACCTTCATCACCGGTTGAAGACTCCTTCACGCCGACCATCCAATCGGCTACTGACCTAATTTCCCGGTGACGATGAAGAAGATACTGAAGAACCCCACTCCCGCCGTTGAAGATGTCATTACCAAATCGGTAGCAGCAGTAGCAGCGACGGAGTTGTAGATGGGAGTTGTAGGGCGGCAGTGGGTCGTCTAGGGTGCAGATGGGAGTTGTAGGGCGGCAGTGGGTCGTCTAGGGTGGTGGCAGTCGGCATTTCCGTCTGCTCTTTTGAGGTTTGTTTCTGTTTTTTTTTTTTGCTTGTTTTAGATAGAAATCAATGGAGGGAAAAGATGGGTGTCTGGGTTTGTTGTTTTTACAAGGAAGAGAACATGAAAATGGGGCTATTGACCATTAAAACAGAAAGGGGGAGGAGGATTTGCAGTGAAACAGGTGAGCAGGGGGCTGTTTATGCAGCCCTTCGTTCTCATCTTTTTTTGTTTAATTTTTAATGGTAATGGAAGCAAGAAATCAGTGGCTTTTGCTTGTGGAATCGGTGATGAGCAAGGATGACCAAGAGAGGGTTGTTGCTCTCTTGATTTACCCATCTCTAGTGGTGTTCTTTGGCTAAAAAACAAAGGAGAAGAACAGGGAAGGCTTTGTTGATTCATTTGACAAGAAAAGAGAAGGAAGAAACAATGGTGATGATCTCTTCTTTGATTGGGTGGTTTCTTTGATTGGGTTTTACTAGTTAAATAGATAAAAAAAAATCAATTCTCTTGATGATCTTATTGTATAGTTGTGAATTTTGATAGATATGGAGTACATTGTGATCTAAGGTGTTAGAAATATATAACAATCTGATTACCACGAATAAAAGGCTCGGTTACCAGTTACTGGGTGACAGATATATATATTTAATGAGATTAGATGCGGAAAGATAAGAAGTGCGGAATAAATAAATACTGGAAAGCTATAAATGACT